GTCTTGCTAGTCCATCTTAGCCTAGGAAAAGATTCTAAATGCAACCTTTCATGCTAGTGTAACAGCAACATTTTGATCTTAAGCATCCATTTCTAGATTGTCATTTAGTCGTGTCCAACTCTTCGTGACCCCATGGACCAGAGCACGCCAGGCACTCCTGTCTTCCACTGCCTCCCGCAGTTTGGTCAAACTTATGTTCGTAGCTTTCTAGTTATTACAGACAAATTCTTCCAACCAACAGAAAATGGAAGCATTTTTATACGGTTACCTATTATCAACATGTTGCCATAATTCATAAAAATATTTATAGGCACATGAAACGTCATGGTGCACCTGCTGTAGCAAAACCGGATGCCTTCATCTGCCACAGCTGCAACAAAACATGTCTCTCCTGTACTGGCCTCTACATCCACAGAAGGCACTGTAACTCTCCAATGGTTTGACTTCACCCCACAAGGCACACTCTTCTATTGTTTCCCAAGACATATGGATGCCAACCAAGCACAAACAAAGGGCTTACTTCAACTTAGGGAAATATCTCCATTTTTAAAACCAGTAACCCATCCACATCATGACACTGTAAACTATTTTCAAAACTCTCCCAGGTTTCAAAAGCTTTTGTGAAGTTTTCACATAGGCAAGTACTTTTATAAACTGTTAAAAAGAAAACATCGTAACTATGACTTCAGTCTAATTGAAATTTTACCAGGCCGAAACCAGAATAAACTATTAGTTATAAAAGTTACAGAAACTTTCCCAGTTAAGTAATTTTTAATCCACTAGATGGCACCAGCACTACAGAGAAAAAAGTTGGTCCTACAGAATAAACGAGGTGATACCTTTTATTGGATAATGTTTGAAATTCTGGAAGCACTAGCTTTTCTCTCTTTTTTACATCCCGGAAGCTTTATAGTCTCACAATGGAGCTATGTGTATCAGAAATACTGATATTTCAGCTTTGTGAATGTGTTCATTTTATTCATAATGCTATCTGGAAAATGACACTTTTGGCAATTTCACATTTATCATATGTGCAGTTATTTTTATGTCATCTGCCACTAAAATGAAATTATTGGAAAACTAGAATACTGTCAGCTACAGCTCCCATTCCTATGTTTTTTTTTTAATTAAAAAGACATTAATTCAAATTACAGAACTGCTATGTCACTTATAGTAGAACCTGAGGTGGTACTGGGGGAAGGAGTGTCTGCTCACTGATCAAATTGGTTCCTTTTACATGCAACAAATGGAGTTAGATATTGCAGGCACTAAAAATGGGTGTGGGAGAGTGCGATGAGATGACTGACATACTTGGCGTGTGGGTGTCAGGAAGGTCTGTGCCAAATTACCAAATCTTGGTAATAGGGATTTTAAAAAAATTAAGTACAACGTAGTCTATGGTCAGTTCCTTCCGCAAATAAGATGATCACATGCACTATGTGGAAACACTTGAACTAGGAAGTCAGCAGAAAAGGAAAGAAAGAAAACAGGCTTACTGCCATGTTTTGGAAGTGAAGTCCAGGTTGATAAATGCTTATTGAATCTGTTGCCAAGGCCAGAAAACAGCAACACAAGGTGATTGGAGGAAGAGAAAGGTCACTTTGCAGTAGGGGGAAAAATGAGGACCTCTGAATCCTCCCTAGGGGAAAAATGCTTTGTATCATTCCACAGAATTTCCTTTACCTGATCAAAATGCAGAAATGATTGGTTCCCAAGAGAGTTGGCTCTAGCTTCCCACCCCCTCTTCAGACCAGAATAATAGGGTTAATAACAAAAGCCTAAAAGGTAAAATGGATTTAAAACTCTGAAGTGTCTGAGATGTCCTCTGAATCCTGTCATGGATGAAGTAGAGTTTCCCCATAGGGAAAAGCTCACAGATACGTCTTTAAAGGGCACCATTTCCCCTGTAGGTCTGATTTCACTGTAGCAATGGCAAAATCATTAACTGCAAGCTGAAGAATAGCAGTCCCCAGCCTTATTTGATGCGTCCCTTCAGAGTCTCTGCCTGGCAATAACCCTAACAAGATGATACATTATGCACACTTTAAGCCGGATGGTGTTTTTCAAGACTGCCTGGGAAAATGATCTCTCTTCTCTTTTTAGAGAACTGCAGAAAATTAACTATTAAATCCTGAATTATGGGGGGAAATATCTTCATTGTCCAGGACAAAGAAGAGACAAAGACGCCTTTAAAAATGCCAACGATTCTTGGTATGATGAACTTGGAGACTGTTACTTCAATGGCTTATAGTACCACTTCAATGGCCTGTTACATCAATGGCTTATAGTACCACTGTAATATAGAATTTGCTTGTAGTAAAGTAGAGTGTATTTTCCAAATCTAGCCCTGTTCAGGCGTTTTCTTATGTGGAGAGATAGTTGGGTCACACATGCTATTTCCCCCCCCCCCCAAGTGATCTTGTCCCCTGCCAGCTCAGCCCCCACTCCGCCCATACACTGGAGAGAAATCTGAAGAGACACGGCCTACAGAACTGGCACAGACTATTCTGGTGCAATCAAAGCTGCAGGTGATAGGGGCAGCCTATATACTCAAACTTGGGGAAGGCTAGAGCTAGGATCTAGGTTGATGAAATTTTGGAAATCTTTGAAGCGGATAAAATCTCAAATGTCAATGTAGGCTCAATGGCCACTTTTATTTAAGGTTCCTTGTGGGGTATTTTCATTTCCCTATTTAACCCTATTCAGGCATGTATTCAGAGGACAGCCCATTAGCCCAAGCCCCATTGTAATGTCCCCACTGCCCATAAGTTGCGTGGGCCACAGAATGCTAGAGCTCTTGGCTGCTGTTTATTGATATCAATACCCCACTTGCTGAGGAACTTCCTCCACAAAGCAGCTTACAATCTCAAACAATTACAGACTACTACAGGTGTTTCTCCCCACTTATGCGTGATCGACTCACGCATGACTGTGGCACCAGGAAATAAATAAATAAATTCAAACCTGGTGGGAAATGGCTGGAGAGTCCTCGTGTCTCACAAGGAGCCCAAAAAGGATGTTAGTGAAGGTTGAGGAAGCCCCAAAGAGACCCGAGGTGCAGCAGGGCATTGTTTAGGCTGCTCAGCCTCCCCACCTAATAGCTGGTATATAGGGTAGCGCAGCAGCAGCAGCTGCCACTTTCCCACACATCCTGCAGCTTCCATCCGGCCCCAGAGCTTCAACTCCAGATATTTAGGTCTGGATTGGGGAGAGACTGTTAGAGAGAGTTGGAGAGTAGGAAAAATGGGCATTGAGAGGATTTTTAGAGGGTGGTCCCCACTTTCACAATTTTTGCCTATGTGTGCAGGGTCCTGGAACGTAACGCCCACTTAAGTGAGAGGAGGCCTGTATACACTGACGTGACGACTGTTGAATCGGTTTAGAGAACCCACATGTGCAAAAATACTACAAGCTTTAACAGATTTTATTTGTTTTATGAAAGCACGAAGTAGACACATCTTTGGTAAAGAATTATACTTAGGAACATACAGAAGCAACAAAGTTCTCCCTCTTGTTTTAATAATGAAGGAACATGTGGAAACATCATTGGCAATAGCCACCAAAATGCCTTCCCCATTCTCTTCAAATTGTGCTGCTTTATTTTTGCTTTATATTTTAACCTCTCCATTATGTTAGGATTTATGTTGCATTTACAAAGGTTATTCTTCTAAGACATTTGCTGCTGATATGAGCATTTAAATTTAGATTGGTTTATATTCTAACAGAGGTGCAGTATCAGAAAATAAGTTCTGTGAAAGCCTACATTATGGTCATGGAAGGTCAAAGAAGGTTAATGAAAACGTCTTTCAGGATATTGGCACAGACGAGGCTCCCTAGAGATAGACCTAGAGTTGGCTTTTTAGTGCAAATAAAAATTTATAAGTGGCAAAAACTTCTATTAAATGCATCTGATGATTCCGTTATGGAAATAACTTCTCAGAAAATAAATGAAAATAGAAGCATAGGATCCAAGATCTGCTGTGATTTCTGATGAAGACTAAAATTAGAGGATTTTATGTTAGCCTTTGGACTCACATTTTTCATTATGCACTGAAAGGAAAATAGGAGTATCTGAAACAGAGGTTTCTTACATCCTCATGCTGCAAATCTAGAACCATACCAAGAAACCTCTTAGCAATAGCCAAATTGTTACTTAATTACGATTTATGTTGTGGAGTAATTATCAGATATGTTCTTGGAGCAGTTTTCCGAGTTTTGAAAACCCCTTTAGATATTACAGTTGGGATAAACATATGAAGGGACAAGCACACTAGCTCTGCCATCTGTCACTGTGCCTGCAACATTTCAACTTATGGGAGGCAAAGGTTTGAAGTGAGGAGGCTTCTAAACTTGTGGAAACACCTTGTATGTTTTCGAACCCTGGAAAACAGGGGTTCTAAAGCAGGCATAGGCAAACTCGGCCCTCCAGATGTTTTGGGGCTACAACTCCCATCATCCCTAGCTAACAGGACCAGTGGTCAGGGAGGATGGGAGTTGTAGTCCCAAAACATCTGGAGGGCTGAGTTTGCCTATGCCTGTTCTAAAGAATGTGAGGAACCTCTATGCGTTCAGAAGGCTCCTCACATAAGACCTTCAACTTCCATAAGTCAAATGGTAATGGTAATGGTGCCAGAGGGAGGCTCAGAGCCAGTGGCATAGCATGACCAATCCCCCTCAAAGACTCTGAAGATCCTCTCTACCCTCTGAGCAACCTCTCTACATATGTTAGGACTCAGCTATATAGCTGCAAATAAAATGTTTTAAGTTTGTTGTAAAGTGCATTATACAAATGTGTCACTAGATGGAGATGGTGAGCTATGGCAAATTCAATATATTTTTTCAGATTTTAATTTTTTTAAAAAAAGCATCTTCACAACATTTTTTATATGTGTCTAGATTCCACACTACATTCGCCTCTGGACTTCAAACCTGAGGATTATTGTGATCCTGCTTTATTAATAAAGATTTGAAATCACTTGGCATAGGAGTGAAATTCTAGGGTCCAAGGTCCCTTACCACCCAATAAAATATGTGAGGGGTCTACTGGGTCTTATGGTTGATTATTTGGAGCCTCTGTTTCTGGAGCTCTTCTATATAGTACAGTGGTGCCCCGCAAGACGAATGCCTCGCAAGACGGAAAACTCGCTAGACGAAAGAGTTTTCCGTTTTGGAGGTGCCTCGCAAAACGAATCTGCTATGGGCTTGCTTCGCAAGACGAAAATGTCTTGCGAGTTCCTGGGTTGTTTTTTTTCCTTTTCCCCCTCTTTTTCTAAGTCGCTAAGCCGCTTATCTGCTTATCCGATAAGCTGATAAACTGCTAAAAGCCGCTAAAGTGCCGCTAATAGCGCTAATAGCGCTAATCCGCTAATCCCATCAATGGGCTTGCTTCGCAAGACGAAAAAACCGCTAGACGAAGAGACTCCCAGAACGGATTCTTTTCGTCTTGCGAGGCACCACTGTATATAGTACATGATATGTATTGTATGTATGTGTATACTATATATTATCCATGCTGCCTGTATTACTGTATGTGTATGGCTTACTGAACCTCAGTGGGGCCTTCTGCACCCCTTCACCCCTTCTTCATCTTTCAGAATACTCTTGACTGTTTAGTTATTTGTGAAATGTTTGCCCATCCAGTGGATTCTTGTTTGACCTTCCTCACTGCCTCTGAGATCTGAATTATTTCCATGCTGCTTTTAACAATGGTATTATAAAGAGTTTAAAACATGCAGGCCATGTATAATGTATGTTTCCCATACCATCCAGTAAGTTTTTATATCTGAAATATACTACTCACTAGATAACACAGATGTCTGTTGGGAGTGGTTTAAGTATTATTGGCCTTGCTTCTTGGATGCATTTTTTTTTTTTTTTTGCTCATCACCATATTTCTGCTGTTCTTTCCCACACACTTTTAGTAGGAGCTGCACAGCTATGGAAATATACCATCCATCTTTCTTTCTTAGTAAAACCCCAACATTATGTCTCACACCATCCAATAGGTTCCTGACCTTTCTAATGTTTCTTTTACCTTTAATGTAATGTGGGATAACCTTTGAAATTATTTTGATTTACAGTGCAATCCTATTTTTGTCTACCCAAAAGTATGTCCCACTGAGTTCAATGACATTTCAATACCTACTTGAATGGTAGCAAACCTCATTGAACTCAATGGGACTTTTTTTTATATATATGCATAGGATCACACAATTAGTGCTTCAATCTGATATATGTCACAGTGAAGCTCTGAGTATCATTCACAAAACAGTGAAGAGCTGGCGAGAATTTGTTTTTTGATGGTGGGGAGGATTATTTGTTTTATTCAACTAGTTCTGAAACTCACCCCAAGATGTCTCTGGATCTTGAAATGAAGTGCACAAATGCACAAATTTGCTTTTTGAAAACCCTTCAAGGTATTTTGAATATTAGTTCTTTTTATAGCAACTCATTATAGCAGGCTAGATTTAATGTAGGAGTCCGGAAAAGTGTTTTGTCCCATTCATTGCTTTAAATATATGAGCAATCTATTGATTTAAATAGGTCCATTCATGTTTTAACATTACTTATGCATTTAAATTGCTTTCTGAATTGAGGTCAAATATGTGCTCCTTCAGTTGGTATACAGCTGTCTTGCCTTCTTCCCCAAAGCTCTCCAGGGATCATAACTGAATGCCAGCATTGATAGGTGACTGTTGTCAATGAAACTGGGAGACAGGGATGTCCTGGCAGCAGTGGCTGAAAGTGAACTGTAATAGCATTGGAAGCTAGAATGTAAAAGACACAACAAAGTCAGGAGAAAAGCCAAAGACAATGAAGTTAGATAAAACCTCTTGGGGGACAGCTATGGAAGTGGTGAAGCTAGAGGGCTGGCCCCTGCTCTCCTTTACCACAGCACTGATCATTTTGAATGACAGAAGAGGCTTGCTTATGTAACAGGGAGACATGTTTTTCATTCTCTGAGATCACAGTGGTTGCAGCCCAAGCCTACAGCCTTCAAAAGCACACATGGCAACTACGCTCTGCTTGCACAGTCATGGATAACTCATAATAGAGTGAAAATTTGGACAATTGGCCTCATGAAACCAATTAAAAAAACCACACCACACATACTATTTGTTACCTTCTAAGGGCCAGTTTACCCAACTTTCCTCCAATGTGCTGCCCTCCAGATGTTGTTGGACTACAACTCCCATCAGCTCCTGCCAGCTTGGCCAATGGTCAAGGATGATGGGAAAGGTAGAACATTAAGAATTGGATAACACCACGTTGGCTATCCATGCCCTAGGCAAACCTAACATGTACAGTGGTACCTCCGATTACAAACTTAATTCGTTCCGGAGGTCCGTTCTTAACCCGAAACCGTTCTTAACCTGAGGCGCACTTTCGCTAATGGGGCCTGCTGCTGCTGTGCCGCCGGCGTGTGACTTTTGCTCGCATCCCGGGGCAAAGTTTGCTACCAAGAGCACCTACTTCCGGGTTAGCAGAGCTCGTTACCTGAAGCGTTCGTAAGGAGGATGGTACATAACCCGAGGTTCCACTGTACATTGAGTTGAACGTCCAGAAGAACTTACACACAAATATTTTCATCAAAACATGACAATAAGAGAAAGCAATTCTAGGAAAGAAGTTTGGGGGGGGGAATGGCATGGGCTTTATTTGCATGTCATCTGCCCCATGGATGCAGCTGGCAGCAACTGCTGCAGTCACAATAGCTCCAAAAAAGCTGTCATAATTTGGGGGAAGCAGTACTATGTATGCTGGCCTCAAGTTGCAACAGTATGTTCTTAGATAGTAGGGGTTTTTGTTTTTTTTTTGTGTGTGTGTGTGTGTGTGTGTGTGTGTGTGTGTATTTCTTTTAGCCTTCTGTGTAAAAACCTTATCCAGAATGAAATTTTAATTAATTTCCCAGAGATGCTTTCGGAAGCAGAAGAACTGCTTGGTTTAATTAACACTGGTATCTAGGGCAGATGCTTTGTTTTGCTGTAAAAGCCAGAAGGATAATCCCACTCCCCACCCCCCTTGTTGCGGTTTTCCTCTCTGAAAGTCCTTCTAATTTTCATAACGCTTATGTTTTATTTGTGTGTTGTTCCTTCTCCCCCCCTTCAAATTCTTGGATCACAGAGTTCTTCGAAAGTATGTAGTACAAATTTTGGTTGTCAAGGCAGGCAGCGCTGTGGCTGACAGGCGTGAATCTCGGCTGGGAGATTTTGTTCGCCGACCCAGAGTGCAAACGCCCACTTGCTGCAAGCGAGGCGAAGGGGGGGCTCAAGCAGAATCGGGAGGCTCTGGAAGCTGGGCCTTGAAGTGCAATGCAGGCTATATTTCACCCCCACAACTGCATCCAGTATGTTTTGCAGACCTACTCTTTGCATTTCCCAAAGGTTGGGGGTTATGCTGCGGCTATACGGACAGTTATACCTCAATCTAAACTAACTGTACCTCAGTCTAGACTCGAACTCCCATCAGCCCCAAGTAGCTTAGGAATTACGGGAATTACAAAACCAGATTCCCCATTTCCGACCCTCCAATTTAGCACCCCTCAGTTCCAGCCCAAGCCAAACCTTGAATACTTTCTCCAATGAACCTCAGAGGCAGGGACATGCTAAGCCACAGATGAGGAGAGGTATTTTCTCTGCTCTGCTCCCCACCTCCAGCACTATCTAAGCAGCAGGCCGAAAACCAGGCTCTTTGTATTTATACAGGCCTATCCGATCCTGTGGCTTCTCAATGTGTGTCAGTGGCCAAGGGTGATTTTGCAACAGCTGCACTTCTTTCTGTGCCTCAGGAAGGCTCTGAGGCCTAAGGGCAACCAGCCTCTGAAAGCTCACTTGGTTATGTGGTAATGTTCTAGGTTAATCATGAAGTTTCTGCTTTCTCCTAGGGTTTCTGACAGCATCAACCAGCATTTCAGCATCTGTGGGGGGATCCCAGCATTTCAGCAGAGGCGGCAACAACAAAATTGATTTAGGCCCGAGGTATTCAATTTGTTCAGCATGGAACAGCACACTGAAATTACTTTCTTCTGCTCAGCAGAGCTGGCAGATAGCAAGGCAAGTACCTCAAGATCTGCGGAAATAGTTAGAGCTTCAGTCAAGCTTGTAGTAGCATTTTAAAGTACTGGGCAAATAACAAAAACTCATGTATTTTTAATTCAGCACATGGATTTTCCCCCTCAGAGATGAATATGCAACAAAAAAAATTATATGTTCTTGTGTGGGCATGAATTATAATACCAGGTAGAAATGGGTCATTAAAAATGAAGCACAAACATGCCAGGTTCGTTTTAAAATGATGAATTGTTTCATCAGTGGCTGCTGCACAGATGTAACTAAATTCGTCCAGCAAAATCTTTGTTGCTGCTGATTACGTGTGACCCAGATAGAACTTGATTTCTTATTCTGCCGACAAACTGAGTTTGTGGTTAGGTGGCAGCGGGAGGAACGACTCTATTTAAACTGAAGAAATTGTATGTGAAATTATTTCACCTGAAATGCAAACATAAAATCCCACGAGTTAGTTTCTTCAATTACTTTTCTGATCAAAGCAGTACTGAAAGTCTAATTTTCATGTGAAAATATGCAATAAAAATAGGTTCTTTGCAGTGGATTGTGTAAATATATATATATGTTGTAATTAACTGCCCTACGTTCATGATATACCTCTGTGCATGGAATAATATATGTAAATTAATCCATGCAGAGTTACCAATCCTAATTGGTGTAAGACGGGATTGGTGGTGGTTAAGCAATGGATCTATTTTTGGAAAATATTTGCAACCACCTAGATATTATCGAAATGTAACATTTTGCTTACAGAAAACTCACATTGCTGACCCTTCATAATAATAAAATGGGCTGTTCTTTCTCTCTCTTCTGTGATTCTAAACAAAATGAAATGGGTTACATTCAATGGTGACATTGTGCAAATGGAAATAACATTTCATTTTATTTATTATTACATTTATATCCCACCTTTTCCCCAAGGAGTGCACAGTGGTATACAAACTTCTCCCCCTCTCCTGTTTATCCTCACAGCAACTCTGTGAAGTATAGATAGGTAGCTGTGTTGGTCTGCCATAGTCAAAACAAAATAAAAAAAATCCTTCCAGTAGCACCTTAGAGACCAACTAAGTTTGTTATCGGTATGAGCTTTGTTATTGGTATGTGAAATATACTCAGAGTCGCAAAGTGATTTCATGCTCTTTATTCAGCTCATAGTGGTGAGGAGGAATGAATGAAAGTCCCCTCAAAGTATCTGCTTTATATACATTATTTACACAATGGGCTGCACATGATTGGCTAATTCTGGAATTCTACTGTAAGCCAATCAGGTTGTGGATTCACTTATATCTGGAGCATGATTGGGTGGTTCCTGCCAACCAATCATACTGCTGCCTTGTTCTAGGACCAATCAGACTGCTGCATTCTGAATCCTATTGTTCTAGGACCAATCAGACTGCTGCAATTTGGATCCTATTGTTCTAGGACCAATCAGACTGCTGCAGTTTGGATCCTATTCAACTCAGTACATAACACCCCTCCCCTCTAAGTTCCAGTCCTGCCCGGGAGGTCGCATTCATAGTCCTCGAGGTACGCCGGCGGCCTACGTGTGCGTTGCGGCCTGTGGTGTTCCCTGGTCCGGGGTTCAGGTTCTGGCTCATGTTCCAAGGATGCTGGCTGTGATGGGCCTGTTTGGTCTGGCGCAACCAGCTCGCTCAGTCGTGGTTCTGGTTCCGGTGTCCTTTCGGCCTCGTGGGTCCTCTCTGTATTTACTGATTCTGCCTCTCCTGCTGGCCCCTCCTGCTCTATGGGCCTCACTGCCCCTCTGTTCCCTTGGGTCTCCTCTGACCTTTCCTCCTCCTGGCTTTTTCCCGGGAATCGTCGCCGTATCTGGTCGCAGTGGCGGCGCCAGCATTGCCCCCCATCTGTTAGCACCTCGTACGACACGGGGCCAGTGACCCTGGCGACTGTGGCGGGTACCCATGCTGGGCCTGCCCCAAAATTCTTTGCGTACACTGGGTCCTGGGCCTCGAAGGTCCGGGGGTTCCTGCCTTCCCACACCACTACCTCAACCTGAGCTCGATACGGGAGTAGGCGGTCCAATCTGATTGCAAGGTGCCGACCCATTAGTAGTTCAGCGGGGCTCCGGCCAGTCGTTGAGCTGGGGGTGCTGTGCTGTGCTAGGAGGAATGTGGCAAGGCGGTACTCCCAATCCCCTTGCGTCATGCGGCGAAGGGTGTTCTTGGTGGTCTGCACCATGCGTTCTGCTTGGCCATTGGTGGCAGGTGGGAATGGCACCGAACGGATGTGGCGGATGGCATTCTGCACTGTGAAGGTTTGGAATTCTCCTGACGTAAATGCAGTCCCGGTGTCTGAGACGAGAGTGTCAGGGAGCCCGTGGATTGCAAACAGCCTGCGTAGTACCCGGATGGCTGCGGATGTAGAAGTGGACGGTACCAGTGCGACTTCCAGCCATTTGGTGTAGGAGTCCACCACTATGAAGAATGTTTTCCCCTGAAAGGGGCCAGCGAAGTCCACATGCAGGCATGACCATGGTGCTCGGGCAGACTCCCAGGACTGGACTGGGGCCCTTGGGGGATCTGGGCGCGATTCTTGGCAGGCCTGGCAGTGTTTGACCCAGGCCTCTATCTCTCCGTCGATCCCCGGCCACCACACATAACTCCTGGCCAGGGCCTTCATTCTTACTACCCCTGGGTGTGTCTTGTGTAGGGCTGTGAGGACCCTTTTGTGGAGGGGCTGGGGAACAACGACCCTGCTTCCCCATAACAGGCACCCCTTGTGGGCCGACAGTTCATGTTTGCGGGTTGTGTAGCCAGTGAATTCTGGCCCAGGGCTGCTGCTGGGCCATCCCCTCCACACCCAGTCCAGGACCCGGGAGATGACCCTATCTTTCTTGGAATGGTGCGCAACTTCTTGTGCCTGAATGGGGCAGTCGGGAAGCAGCTCCAGGCTCATAACCTCTTGTGCAGGTACTGGGTCGGGGCCTGTTTCTGGTAGTGGTAGCCTGCTGAGGGCGTCCGCATGGCCCATCACCTTCCCCGGGCGGTGAATCAGTGCATACTGGTAGCTGGCAAGGAAAACTGACCACCTGAGGACGTGAGGAGACAGCACTTGGGGGGGGTCTGCTTTTCGGGGGCAAACAAGCCAAGCAACGGCTTGTGGTCAGTCACCACGGTGAAGGGCCGTGTCTATTTGCGAGTAGTTCTGCTCGGTTGCGTTGAGTGTCTGGGAAAAGTATGCTACCGGTACCTCTCTTCCATCCAGGAGTTGGTGTCCCAGGACAGTGCCAATGCCATAGGGCAAGGCGTCGCATGCTAGCACCACCGGCAGCCTCTCGTCGAAGTGTGCCAAGACCGAGTTTGAGACAAGCAAGTCCTTGACTGCCTGGAATGCAGCCTCCTGGCGCTGGCCCCACACCCAAGGGGCCCGCTTGTCCAGGAGTCTGTGTAGGGGCTCCGCTACCGCTACCTTCCTTGTGGGGAAGGAAGGAATGGTAAAAGTTCAATAGTCCCAAGAAGGCCTGAAGTTCAGTCTTGCTCTTGGGTGCTGGGGCATCACAAATGGCCCGTACCTTGTCCCCAGTCGGGTGGACCCCTTCTGCGTCCATCATAAATCCCAGAAGGTCCACCTGAGGCACTCCTAGTAGACATTTTTGCCGCTTCACCCGCCTTCTGGAAACGGTGCAGAACGGTGCGGAGGCGGTCCTCAAACTCCTCTCGTGTGGGCCCGGCAATCAACACATCATCGAAGAAGGGGGTGATGCCAGGAATCCCTTTAAGGAGCGAGTCCATTAGATTCTGGAATATGCCTGGTGCCACACTGACACCGAATTGCAGCCGCTTTACCCTGAACACTCCTCTGTGCATCACAATCGTCTGTGCCTCTGCTGTGGCCTCATCTACTGGCAGCTGTTGATATGCTTGGGCCAAGTCCAGCTTGCCAAAAATTTTCGACCCAGCCAGGGTGGCAAGGACATGGCTGACCACTGGCACTGGGTATGCATGGGCCGTGAGGGCCTTGTTTATGGTACATTTGTAGTCTGCGCAGATGCGGACCAAACCATTAGGCTTGACAGGTGTGACGATTGGGGTTTCCCAGGGGGCATTAGGCACCGGCTCCAGCACTCCTTGCTCCACGAGCCGGTCCAATTCCTTGTCTATACGGGGTTTCAGGATGAACGGGACCTGGCGGGCCTTGAGCCTGACCGGTCGTACTGCGGGGTCAAGCTGTAGAGCAATGGGGGGGCCCGTATACTGTCCCAATTTCCCATCGAAAACCCCTGGAAATTCCTTGCATATGGCGTCCAGGTCCACTTGTAAGGTAGTGTGGTTCACCCCGGTGATGGCTAGCCCCAGTGGTCCAAACCATGCCAATCCCAGTAAGCTAATGTAGGGGCCCTTGACCACCAGGGTCCAGTTGCCGTGTCCGCCCTCGGTATTGCACCCTGAAGGTCCCCACCCCCATTGTGGGGACCTTACGTTTCTGGAAGTCCCGGAGGGTGAATGGGGCCGGCCTGAGTTTGGGACCCCCAGTAGGACACAGTTTCCTTAAGGTCCTTGCCAAGATTATGGATAGAGTTGA